GTGTAATGAACCTCCTAATCACTTAAGAGGCAGGAATATGTTGTTACTTGCCAAAATTTTTCATGCAACCACTCTGTTTTTAGGTCGAGTTTTGGAATTGTCATGCCAGTGCATAACATTGTACCTGCCAAAATATCCACACCTTTTAATATTGCCAACTTTATGGCCTGCACATCAAACCTCTTCTTCTTGTTTGCCCATGTTATTTTCTTGAGCAAAACATATTGAAAGTTCAAAATTATTTTTCCCATTCTTAAAGCACCAAAATGAATATATTCCTTTATTTATAACATGAGGTTTTCCCTTCTATTTCTATTGATTAAAAATCTGTCTTCAAGGAACAAAACTCATTACTTGGCATTCACTTGAGAACAGACCCTGAAACACAAAACCTCAGCAACAGTAACTTAGTTTCCACACATGCAGCTTGACAAGAGAAGTAGCTCTGAAGCTACTTTTTAAATCAAGAAATATCCACATGGAGCCTACACCTAACGCAGAACAGAGCAGAACGTAAGGAAAACGGCAGTGCACGCAAAAGGCAGCCCTGTCTGGAATAGCTGGGATTTTGCAGGCCAGCAATGAAGAGACAGAAATGTGCTGATAAAAAAAGTTTGTCCAGACTCTGTTTACAGTAAACATGCGTCTAACTTAAATTTTTGTAGCCACTAATAGCTGTCATAATCTCTAAGATCCAAGAGGATCTTCGAATGATTATGCTGCTTCGTTGCCAGAGCTTGTTCAGAAATGTGCTTGAAGGATACTAGCATTTCCTCAGCTCTTCGGGGATCAACTCCTGCCCTCATTGAAGTCATTGGAAGTTGTACTGTCAGCTTTTACAGGGCTGGGATTTCACCCAATATGTTTTCAATGTGTAAATTGGGAGATATAGGCCAAGTAGTCACACAGGGACTGATTGTATGTGGCTAACTTTAGTGAAAAGCTTTTGACCTAGATCAGAATTGGTTTCCCTCCACAGGTTACATACTTAAAGTACTAACACATCTCACCCAACACCAATATGTTACAAGCTATACTTTAATTTCACATTTTTCTTTCACTCTGAACTTGGCCATATGAATCTCAGAAATGCAGTAAATTGCTTACGTGGGGCAGTGACAGGAAGAAACCAGCACGCACACGACCCTGTGAAGGGTCCAAGGCGAGTCACCCCGGGCATGCTGGTCGCCACCTAGGGCACAGTGGGACAGATGCCCCACGGGGGAGGCGTTTGTGGCACCGGTAGCCACGATTATGTATCTCTGCAGCACCTTGAACCTGGGCAGCAGAGGTGGCGATTCCTCAAGTACAGCTAGAGCACCTTGTCTGTCTGTCCGTCCATCCTTCCTCTGTCTGTCTGTCTGTCTGCCTGTGGGGTGCAGCCACGGGCAGAGGCAGCAAAGCCAGCTTGGAGAGCACCCAACCCAGAGCTAGCACTGAGAAACCAGTACATAACTGAGAATAGGTGGAGGTACACTGGTTTCCAGCAGGCCTTTGGGGACCATTGCAGCAGCTTGAGCTCATCAGTACACAAACACACCCTGACACGCTCTGCCTGTCCTAGCAACACTTCATCCACCAACAGCTTCCCGCAGCTGAAGCCCAGCTGCTACCAGAACAGTAGCACCCAGCCCCATGCCCTCACCAGGGAGCTCCCGCCATGCACCCTGCACCTCCACACCCTCCCTCGCCAAGAAGACTTTCTTCTCCCTATTTTGCAGGAACACATTCCTCTGCTTAAATAGGCTCTATAGGCGACAAATCTAGAATAAAGAAGCTGCCAGTAAGTTGGTTACATCTGCACTACAACGGCACAAACATTTAATTCTTGAAGCAATCTCCACTTTTCCACTGGTATGTTCAAAACCCGATAAACTTGCAACAGCTTTCAATCAGCCTAGCCTGCATGGATGCTGAAACAGCACATGTTGTAGAAATTAAAATGTTTCTAAATGTTTCTCATGTCTATAAGCAGACAATGCATCTTTTTGTTCAGAACATTTCTCATGTGAAGTTATACATCCAGGGTAAGACAGTATGTGTGTGGTACACCTGGACTGTCATTGGTGTAACCTTCACTTCATTTCCCTTTACAGCATTATCAGGCCTGCCAAGGTCTCTTGCTCTGTATAGCTCTGGGTATGTTTTTGCTCGTTCTGGCAGCTGGCAATTTATGATAATATAAGGGAAGGCTATGCAATGTGTCAAAATTTTTAGGAAGTTCTTGGCAAGTTTTTTCAAAAGCACTCTTAGGTGTCCTAACTCTGTTTCTGTCGAATTACGAGTAAAAATTGTGAATAAAAATTATTTTGGCTTCAGTGTGAGTGGAATTAAGAGAATGTTGAACACTTCCAAAAACCTTCTTTCGGTCCTTTTTAAAAAGTCTTGAAACATTAACACTAAACAAGAGGTGCTTATTACATTCACCTGCTATTAACACGTTGCTATTAGTGTTTTCGACCTGCATTACTCCTGAAAGCAATGACTACTCTTTTCCTTCCAGGAAAAAGGTAATAAAACCCCAGTGGTAGCATGCCTGGCCAGCTGCCTCTCCCAGGCAGGCCGGCCGTCGGGCGCTCGTGGGTGCACCCAAGGACAGCACCTCGAATAGCCGCCCCGCCGCAGGACAGGAAAACCAGCATGGAGGCAGAAAGGGCCACTGAGGAAGCAGAGACGCCTGCTGTTATGGACAGGCCACTGACGATAAAATTCCTGAGCACCTTTAATTTACTGATTGACATGTGTTAACACGTACAAGCCACGGAGCATGTTGTCTTTATCATTTTACAGCCTGTGAAGCTGCCTCCTGGTCAAGCTGTAATACTTCATAAAATTTGCTCTGGGAATCTTTCATTCAGTCCCAATACCAATCAATTGCTAGATGTACTGCTTTTCTGAAGCACTAAATGACTTGAATTCCCTGGAGAGTGAAAGAACTATATTTAAGGACACAGTGAAGTACTGCGGTATTACAGTTTGCTGGCACTGAGATGCTGTCCACGTATTTCCAAACTCAGCTTTTGTATTCTCTGCGTTTCACAGGGCTAACACTCTGGAGTGGGCAACACGGAAAAATAAAACAAATCACGAAAATATTCTGCTCAGCTGCTGCTATTATCTCTGTGCAAGTCAGATCAGTTTTTGTTTATCTGATTCTTTCTTTGCTTCATTAGAATAAGCATGGAATTATTCTTTATCCCATTAAAGATACACTACTTTCTAAAAATCTACTCTTCAAAACAAATACATTATCAGAATTCTAGAGCAGCGAGAAACTCATCAAGTGTTACCTGGAGATGAACGAAAGCATATGTCAGGCTCCACGTTCTTCGGGCAGGCTTGACAGAGTCAGGCAAGTGAAGATAATACCCTGCAGTGAAAAATGCCCACTCTCTTCTAAGACAACGAGTCTGCCATATCAGATTAGGTTCACTACAAAGACATTATGAACTGGCTTTTTGACACATAAGTGGGTTGCACACTGGCTCTCCTCTTAGGTGGAAGAAAATCACAGATTTTACAACAAAGGAAGCAGCTTCAAGAAATAAAGTTTTGAATAAATCCCAGTCTGCAAAGTCAATCTGTGCTCAACACCACTATATGCCCATTTACTCACTTGGGTTAAAATATCAGGCTGTACATTATCAGTCACTATTCAAGGAACAGTATGTTCTTGTACAGGTAATAAGCATCACCTGCAAAAGCTGTAACATTGACCATGAATTACCTTGACTGCTTAACTAATCAGAAAGGCTATACAGCTTAAGTGTAGTGGATGAAATTCTGGGTTCACTGAAGTCAATAGTACATGACCAGGATTTCACATATTGTTCTTATTTAAATACAGTTGTTTTGCAATGTTTATCCCAAGTAAACTTGGATTGTAAATACGTAGTGGGGCCAAAAAGAGCTGAGCTGCATTGCTATCCAGATACGGATATGTCATATGGGTTGCACTCTGGTATGTTATACAACCTATTAATTAGTTCCACAACATCTTTCATACATTACTCACTCTGGCTCTGACTTTTACAGATTTCTGGGTTTTTTCGTTGCTAGTTTTTAATTGTCACATCAGGAAATACTATACACTGGTTAAGAGCTGTTAGCATGATTAGCGTTTGCTTGGCAATGCCTTGAGCCCCATAACATTGTTAAGTGCGCTTCTACCAAAATCTCTGAAAGCAGAAAAATTCAGTGTTAACAGCAGCCCTGAAACTTTGTCTCATCCCACTGGGGTTGGCAAGACTCTTCAGAAAACGTGAGAGCTATCATGGACTGAGCCAACATTGTCTGAACAGGTATGTCATTTCGTGGGGCGTGCTGTGCCCCGCAGACCTGCGCGATTTCATGCAGCTTCATGGTGCTGTGGGCGGCTGCGCTGGCTGGTGCGAGGCTGATTTGCGCCAAGCTGCCAAAACTCTCCTGTCACCTGCGGGAGAGGTGCGTCCCCTGCAAGAGGACCCCGGGCCCCAGGGAGCCGGGGGATGTGCAAATGAAAGACATCAGCCTGCTCTTGCCTCGGTAGTTTACAGCACTATCATGACTGTATGGAAGAGAAGGAACGTAAGTGGAGGTGACATAATACGAACAGCGTGGACTCAGGTCTGCTGCAGCCACATCTTGCAGTTGTGGATGAGCTGCATGATGCAAGCGTGTATGTGGCCGTCTATGGGCCAGATCAACTCCAAATCTGTCCTGAAAACAACTTCAGCCTTGCAGAGTCTCTCTGACAGTGCTCGTATGCTACAGTCCAACAGGGCTTCATATCATCTTGAAGAACCTGCCAAATTATATTAGAACAACTGTCTATCATACATCTAGAGACATCAAGGAGCTGTTATTCTTGTACAGAGCTGTCCTTCCAGAAAATCTTCCTTCATGCTTCCTTCTGGTTATATGTATGGGTTTTATATATATAAACTCAATCATAATGGCAATTTTTGACCTTCAAAATACAAATGTCTGAAATAAAACCACATGTAATGATAGAGGCTTACCTACATCCCTGTCCCTGATACAGTAGTCTGGAGAGCTTTCAAAGTATACCAGGTCATTCTTAGTTGGCTTCTTAAATCTCTTATTAGCCACAGTGAAACCAGTGCCATCTTGATTCATGACCACCTGAATCGCTCCATTGTATTTCTTCCACAGATAATCTCCTGTTTTCCTAAAGTCTGCCATGGCCAGCCAACAGGTCCTTAGAGTGCATGATCCACTCACACCGTGACATTTGCACTCCTGTTTCAAAAACCGCTTCACGGCCTGTTTAGAAACGCAGTAAAATATACACAGGTAAAACAAACTGTAATTTATGCTTCTCCAAAATCCTTTTCCATTGATTCTGCAAATGCCAGGCTTGCAATGGGTCTCAAAATCACGGTCTGTAGTGACACCCACTGGTAGCATCAAGTTAGCCTCACACAGTTGGGCTACTCTGCTTGCTTTCCTCAACCATACAAACGGTCTTCTGGGTGGTGGTCTTACCTGTCCCCCTGCTTTTAGTCATCCTAAAGAGCTATACGACACTGTCATGCTAGGACACAGCCCATATACGGACAGTAAGAAATAGTGTGGATAATGGATACAAAAAATGCAGCCCCTTGCTAGGCAAAGGTAGCCAGTTTTAACGTTGTTCAAGCTGAAGCATTGCCATGTTGAACCTCTCTATCTCGTTTTTATGAGGTTGCTCATTGCCATGAATACTTCTGTTGTAGAGAAAAATATCTTAAAATGTTGTGAGACTTTCAGTGCTAACTAAATTGTTAAAGAATATTTTAATGTAATTGTATCTAAACTTACTGAAAAAGTTTACAAAAACATCCAGTTTGTCAGACAGCTCTTCGGCGTGGTGTCTAAATGTGTGTGCAGATGTAGACAGTGTTTTAAATATTGCCAAGAAATTAACAGGCATTTCCTATTAAAATGATTTTGCAGAGACTGTATAAAGCGTCATACCTGAGCTAGTCATTTGATCTATGTGAAACTCTAAAACAAGATATTTGTAAAACACTTACTTATAAACTTTTTAACAAACATTTTAGAACCAGACCTTCATTAACTTGCACAGGAGAGATCACTGTCATCATTAATTTAATGTCTGGATAGTCTTAAAGCCATTTCAGCTTCACCTCAGACATTCAAGCTAGCTGCTGCCTGATGTTAGGGAAAAACAGATGGGTTCATATAGAATAAATAATTCATTGCTAATTCTTAAGACATGGATATTTGATCTATAAACTTTATGCCTTAAGGGCTCATGAAATATGAACAATTTAGACTTTGTACAAGAGGAACAGGATCATGGGAGGGAGATAACAGAGAGAAATGCTTCATGATTAGAAGTGAGACTGATGCACAGCGGGGTGGCATTTTCCAATCAAGCACTTAGTAAGAAAGCAAGAATGTGTTATATAGCCAAAGTACTTTTAATTTACTCTCCAACTTGTAAACAATTTGTTTGACTACTTCAAAGAAGTCACTGACATTCCCACAGCCCAACTGCATTGCCAATAGTGCTATTGCAAAATTGGGATTCTGGTCAGAAAGGAATTTAAGCACGTGCTTATTTTTAGTTATCTGAGTAAAAATCAGTTAAACTGCCTGTATGTGACTTGATGGACTGAGGCCTTGAATATCTGAAGAAGCACATCAGGATATAGGACTTCTTTGAGTCAGTGATGTTCCTTCACTGATATGCAGCATACCGTTGTGTTTGATGCATATGGGGTTACTGCAAATATTCATCCTATGCATCTCCAATGACTAAAATTTGAATAGCCTGGGTCTAAAAGGAGTCTATCGGCACAGGCCTCCCCTTTGGGGTGAGAAAAAGCTGGGGGCAGAGCTGGTGCTCCCCACGCGCGTGTGCCAGGCGCGCCCAGGGGTGAGCTACCCACGGGACTCCAGGTGCTAAACCTGCACAGCTACATCACGGGTGCAAAACAGCAGCACCCATCACAAAACCAATCCTAAAGCATGGGAGAGTGTATTGACTAGTTTTATCTAAAACGCTTACAAAATCTCTTTGTGATCTTTTTTTCTAAAAAACCTAACTACCTACTAATCCTACCTTATCATTTTGCATATTTAAAAAAAAAACTTACTAAGATACTCAGCTATTACAGGAAGTACTTCACAGCAGGGAGTAATTTTCCCCGTAGTCTTTGCTTGTGTGGTACACCGCAGTCTCTTTTAGGCAGTAACAGAAAGACAGTCGCATTAGCATTTTTTTTCACTAACCACATGTGTCACTGATCTGAATAGCCTTATCTGGCTATATCACATATGCATTATATCTGCTGACAATAAGCAGGTGGAGAAAAGATGTTAAAGAGGAAAAAGTTATCAGGAAAATCATCTACTTTCCACACAATTCATTGAAGAACTAAAGTTGGATCATTTTTCTTATAAGGAACAGTTAATACAAAATACTCTCACAGTTTATTAAGGGAACTTTTTAATACAAAAGGACAGGAGAATATGAAAAATTTGCTTCCTACTGAATATACATTAAAGGAAACAAAAGACAGGAAACAAAGTCTCTAAGATTCACTAAAAGAATGCTTGAGTTAGCGCTCTGCATTATTTTTCTGCATTGTTTCAGACGTTGTGGGTGCAGTGAATTTTACTGTATGTTTTGAATAGTGAAACAGTACATTCCAGTTATGGGTACTATTCTTATTATTTATAAATACCAACACAAAATATCAGTGTATCTATTCCTCAGTCCTTGCACCAGCAGTAGACAATATGGCATTTGGCAACTACTCCTTTTTGTCACCTACAATTAAAAAAGTAAGGACTTCTTGTTAAAATTAAAGCATATCATTTTAATGCAATGTTTAGAGAAGAATTCTTGTTTAGAGAAGATCATGTCCAAAGGCAAAAGCCTTTTTGAGTGACATTTATTATGGCTTTTATTTCCCTAAAAAGTGACGTAACTGTATTTTACCTTTGCTTATTTTGTGTTCAGGTTTATTATGTACCTAGAGGGATACACAGTACTGGGTTTTTTTCCAATAGCACTTTGAATTCACTCTTTAAGAGTAAAGTCTGTTCTTCAGCGTAGCCTTCAGCCTCCCTTAGGAATTCCCATTGTTTATTAACTAAAAGTAAAACGCCTCTCCGTACAAGGCCTGGTGTAATGACTAAGCACAAACTACAACCCCTCTCTGAAGCCATCCTGCAAAGACTTGCCCTTGTGCCTAACTTTCTATGCACCGAATCATCCGATCGACTCAGACAGGAACACTGTTAAGTGGCAGCATTTAGTGTGTGTGGAAATGTCTGCTATGCTGAGCCTCTAAGGGAAATAGAAATAGCGTCTCAGTTTTCCGCTCATCCCATCCTTGGTCTAACTGTGGAGATCGCCCAGTGAGGACCAAGAGATTTATATGAGAATAAATTCTTCCGGGCCCCAGAGTTATAGGAGTTCACAGCGAGCATAGCAAGACATTGAGGGGACAGACACCCACCTTCCTTCCAGCTCGGTTGTTGTGCAGGTTCATCAGCGCTCTCGCATCTTTCCCCTTCCTTTCTTTGGCATCCACAAACGCTCTGGCAAATCGGACGCCATAGTCGACGTTATCGCTGCAGCCACCCCAGTCAAAATGACCCTTGCTGTCCTTCGCAGAACCTTTTTTCTTGGGGTCGCAGGAGCACGATTTCAATTCCCCTTGGCTACATGCCCTTGTGATAGCAAAAACAACCCCGGCGGAGGAGATGGCATGTACAAAAGCAGATTCCCGACTACCTGAAACAAAGAGGGTGCTTTAAAAACCGTTGAGATAGTTTGGGTGGCTACCCCAACTCTAAACAGTTTTAACAGTTAAAAGTCAGTTATCCTGGACTTTTTGCGGAGCAGAAGATTGAAACTAGGCTGAAATCACACAAAATACACATTCCCTGGAGTCAGAATTAGTCATGGCTTAAACTTGAACCCCTCCCTCGTAAAAGCTCATCAATATACTGCTGGAGTTGGAAAACATTAAAAGTGTGTTTCTGATATTGATTAATATACGTTCACAGATCAGTTGTGTTGTACAGATACATTAACAGGACAGCTGGTATTTCGGCCATGTTTAACCACTTTAGAAAAATATATGAAGTGCTATTTCAGAGACAGATATAAGAAATTATTTAATAGGAACAGTGAAACAACATGTATTCTACAATGTGCTGCCAATAGCTTTTGAAACTAGCTTTCCCTCTTCTGAGGCTCTTGGGATAATCTCTTTTGTTTAAAAGACCAAGAGATCTTTGGTGTTATTTCCTGAAAATAAGTTAAATAAGTTTTCTCTCTAGAACTACGCCTGGGCACCTTAATTCCCACTAACCAATTCCACTAAATCAGTTGTACTGCTCGGGTCATACTGTAGGCAGGATTTAGACTCAAGCTGCGACTTGCACATGCCAGCTGTTCAGACAGCTTTGCCCACTGTTATCAAAGACACGTTAGCATGCTAAGGGCTATGCATATTATGCCTACTAAAATATACCTACTCCTTGCCAGGTACATACTTCAATGCAATAATGGCTTAAGTCTGTTTTAAGATGTAGCAATGTACAATACAGAGCTATGTCATATGGGCACAAGTCTCTTTACGGTAACAAGGTATTTTCAGATTTTAAAAGTTTTTAGCACGGAAGTTGTGAGGAGGACATTTTTTGTGCAGTAGCTAAGGCACTAGGAGTCAAACAGGCCTGTTGTGAGGATTTGTCAGCCTTATATAGTAATTTCATCGTAAGGTAGGACCACACAGAGTCACTGTTATCCCTGCTTTACCGCAGGGACAGGTGAGACAGTTTCGACATTACACCATATAACTTATTATTTAGTATTTAGATTCCAGTAGCATCTAGATGCTTCAAATAGGAATGAGCCCTGTAGTACTAAGTACTGGGCAAACCTTTGGTAAATGACAACTTAAAACTTACAGAAGTACTGGGGAAAATCCTGACTTTGCCTATATTAGCTTCAAAATCACGTGCAAGATAACTTGGCTTGTTACAAAACATTGTCTTTTGAGGATTTCATTTCTGAGAAAATATATTCAGATATAACAAAACTGTTTTGGAAATTATTATCGAAAAGAAACACTTGATGTCCTTGGAAAGGTCTCATTTCAGTTTATTAAACTAATCAAAAAGGTTTCATTTTAAATTAGAGAAATATCAAGCTACAGTTCCCGTTGCAATCACTGTCTAATCAGGCTCAGAGTATAACTCAGCCTTATGTCTTGATTCTCCCCCATGAGCCAAGAGTGAAAATTTTCAATTTTGGAAAAACTGTATTTTGACTGTCTCATCAGATTTAGGACATGATCTGCCAGACACGGTTTCCTGTATGCCAGACAAACCTCATCTAAAACTTCAGCTGAAAACGAGCAGTGACGCAGCTGGTTACTCACACGCAACTGCCAAGGGAGCACCAAGCCAGTTACGGGCAGCAGCTTGCTACCAGACGCACAGGCAGGCACCGACTCCTAGTCGTCTGATGCTATGCGGGTGCAACACCCAATTCGGGTCAGCGCCCAGGGCAGCCTGTTCTCCTTCCCACCGCCAGGCTGGCCCCAGAGCATGTCCCTGCTCTCCCTGCCGTGCCCTCGCTCACAGGCTGACCCCACTGAGCCCCTCTCAGATGGCCCGGGGACAGCCTAGGGACACAAGTGCCAGCACTAGGTCAGCCTCACCGGCCCTCACCGCGTCAGTATGCCCGTGCATGGCCTTTGGTGGAAAGAGCTGCAGGTTAGAAGAATTTTAGCTTATGGCAACACTGGGATAAGAGCCCTGTGGCCAGATCTGAGCCCTTTCTTTGATTCAAAAGGATCATATAAGCAGTCCAAAGACTCACTAGATGGCTAAGCCCAACATTTAGATGGCAACAGCATCCACAGGGAAAAAAACAAAAACAAAAAAAACACTTAAGCACGAACTTTTCCCCCCGCCTTCCGCCCTGGTGGAAGCATGTTGCAGCCCTGAGCTGCTTGGTGTCTCACAAGCCTAAAGCCACTCACCCACATCAGCTGTGCCCCTGCTACCCTTGCCCGCAGGGTCTAAGCTGACAGACCCCGCGGGCACTCCTCCTGCAGGCCTGGACAGCACCGCTGCCCAGGAGGTGGGAGGCTGCAGGGAGCAGATCGCAGCACCCCGGCCCTGCGGTAACCGTTCGCTACCTCAGCCCTTTGGGGAGAAAGTGCTCGGATGCGAGCCCGACTGTGGAAGGGGCTGGGAAGGGAAGGGGGTGTCGTCTCTGCCCCCCCTGAGGCGCTTGAGCCCTGTTTGGACACGGGAGGCTCCTTCCAGGCCACAGAGCATCCCTGCGGCCCTACGGGGTGGGCTGCGCTGCAGGGCGCCTTCTCACACGCTGGATGCTGGAGCCTGGCTCCTCTGAGGCCCTTCATTTGCAGTTTGGGCTTCTGTTAAACCCAAAAGTTTGGAACCGCAGGGCTAAACAGCCTGAGCACCCTTGCTGAACCTTGGCCCTAGTCTTTGCGCCGTGATACAGGGTTTTAGGCAAAGCGGCATTTCTTTCTATTTATGTGCTGTTCGGGTGACCTGGAGGCTCGAGAAGGACGTTGCATTTCCCCCTGCCTTCCTCCTCTCCTCTCCTCTCCTCTCCTCTCCCCTCCCGAAGCTCCGCAGCTAGAACAAAGCTG